CAAAGCGGGGAACATAGGACCCGGGGAACATAGGTACGCTCCCGTTTCCACCACCACATTTCCAGAAACTCTGGGACATTTACAGTGTTCTGTTTAGAGGAACCAGGGTTAAGTTTCTCTGCCATAAATCCTCGACCCAAAAAGCCCCTGTTCCCAGGGTAGTACTTTCCAATACAACTGTCAGAGCAGAGTTTGCAGGGCTCAGTAGCTGTTTATTGCCAAATATCATTACATTTTTTCATCTTTTTTTCAGTCTTGACTCAATAATCAAATATCTTATAATCAGATTCAAACTATGTTAAATTTTATATGTGAAAATATCTATAAGCAAAGACAATGATACTTGATTCCTTTTGGTTTTCAAAATCATCGTTCTTAAATTTTAGACAGTGAGTTGAATGAGTCTTAAATTGCCACAGTGCAGATACGTCCAATAGATGGAGCTTTTGGATGAGATGATAAAACTGTCAGTCTGTTCTCTCAGGGAGGATATCATCCATCCACATCTTCTAGTTCTACAAACTAGTTTAACTTCCGAAATAAACAGACCAATTCTAAACCTTCTCAACCATTTTTTGAAACAGTTTCTTTTCCAGCTGAGCCTCATCTTTGAAAGTGAGAAAAGCAATCAGGTTATGGCATTCATAAACTGTATGAAGTTGTAATTCAGACCATTTATGATTGTGTCCGAAGTGGCCTATGAAGCCCTATAATAGCACCTGATAATGTATTTAAATGTTACAGCAAAATGACACATTGTTTGCAGTGGCAAAAAATAAAATGAAGGTCAGCGACATTTAATCCATTGTATCTCATTTTTAGGGCATCAAACACAAAACAGGCCCAAGGTTTGGAGTGTTATTGGCTCTGACAAACAAACATAATGCCATCCACTCCTTGAACGGTTTTCATGTGCCAGATGTGCCTGCGTGTTTTTTATTCACATTTGGTATTTAGTCATGGCGTGGACTGTGAGCTTTCATTTCCTCTGTGAGACTGTAAATAAGCCCAACATCCTCTGGGAGTGACTACATAAAACACTCTGTGGTTAGCAGACCTCAGTGCCTGCCAGAGGCATAGCTAAACCGTGGACGCTTCACTTCTATCAAGTAAAGGCAATATCCTAGATATCTCTGTTTATCTAGCAGAAGAACACGCCATCAAAAGACAATCCTACTATAAAAAAAGTGTAAAAAGCAAATGCCTAAGGGACTGCGATAACAAAAAACATAAAGGAAATAAAAGGAGTTGGGAGATTTTTTACTCTTTACATTGTTTTGGAGATGTTTTAAAACCAGCGGAAGAGTTTATTTATACAATTTTAACATTTAACATTTAGTGTTTAATTATACGACAAATGTTCCTTTATTTACAGCAGAAATGATGATCTTTCACGGGTCAATATCATCAAGAGAGATGTTTGGGAGGGTAAGAAAAAAGGCTGATTTATTTTCTACCCTCATTCATTCTGCAGTTTTGGGTAATCTTTCCTTTCTGATGCTCCCTCGGACTTGACTTGGCACGTGCATTTGGAGCGGTTGAATTCACTTTTAAATATGCCTTTTCTCTGGAGGTCTCAGCCCCTTGTGATGTGACCCGCATGACTAATTCCATTTAAAGGGGAATAACATGCATTAGGGCTCTCGCATTTCTGCCTCGCATTTGCATAATTTTGTTTGGCAACTTGGAAAAGGGCCATTAACAGCACTAAGACACACACTGTAAAGGATAGGGACGGAGGCAGATCAATACTTCATTTCAACATCTTTAGCAGCATCAGGGTCCAGATCAGGAGGCATTCACTAATTCAAATTCGTGCAGGAGTCTTGTGATGCTACCATTAGTTCCTGATAAGAAAACACCGTTGTACTGCCTCTCTTAATCTCTGACAGACACGTTTGCTCGATCAATAGTCTTTTACTTTTTTGTTGCAAAGACAAGATTGATTGCCAGGAGTTGCTTGTGCTCAATTCCACTTCTCGCACTCCTCATTATTGTTTCAATTAGGCATCCTCTAGAGACCTTGTTGGGGGTAGCATTACAAAAGCGGTGACCCCCCGTGATGCACATCAAAAGCCAGATGTTAGGCAGAACAACCTTTGACACCAACTTTATTCAGGTCAAGAAGTGGAAGTGCCGTCCAAACAAGTGGATTAAGCAGGCGGGGGGGCTGTCAGCGGGAAGCACAGGAATGACCAGGGGAAGTTGCGACTCGCGCCAGTGAGGAGGAAATAATCACAATGTTACCTTCTCATGAATTATTAAGTACCCTGTGCCTATTTTAGTCCAGCTCAAAATGCTGCATTTTCATCTGTGGGTCTGAGGCAGTGTGCAAGGGTGTTTTTTTTTTGACAGCTGTATTACTGCTGATAAGCGAGACTGTGTGAGCTGATCAAGTAGTGAGACAAGCGTTCAGAGCAGTAGCAGCACAGCAGCAGCAGCGCTCTAGTCACTAGGAGCCGTGGCGGCAGAAGCAGCAGCAGCACTATCAGTCACAGCAGAGGCAGCAGCAGCGGCAGCAGCAGCAACAAACTCTCTCCTGTCTTTTTCTCTTCTTTCTGGAGTTGTTTCCCGCTCAGAGGACAAAAGCCAAGGAAGTAGGAGGGAAGTGATCCGGGGCTGAAAGCTGCCATCAAAAACAAAACCAAAACGCAGACCTGGCTGCCCCCATGCCTATCGAATTTGTTTGCAAAATCAAATTTGCAGAGGAGGATGAGAAGCAGAAAAACAAGCAGGATGGGGACAAGGAGAGCCTGATCGAGGAGAGCTGCACACCTCCGGCTAAGGACTTGGCCGGGTTTGCTAACTCCTGCTCCCTTCATGGGATTAACCACATCTTCGTCTCTGGTCGCCTGGGCATCCGGCAGACTCTCTGGGCTCTTGCCTTTTTGACATCACTGGCGCTGTTTCTGTACCAAGCAGCTAAGTGTGCCATCTCTTACCTGGAACACCCTCATGTCACAGCTCTGAATGAAGAGGCGACCCCCGAGATGGTTTTCCCCGCTGTGACCATCTGCAACATCAACCGCTTTCGCTTCTCCGCGCTCACTGATGCCGACATCTACCACCTGGCTAACTTGACAGGTCTGCCCCCCAAAAACAAGGATGGGCACAAACCTACTGATTTAATGTATCCTGCCCCTGACATGCAGGACATCTTCAACAGGACAGGACATCAGTTGGAAGAGATGCTCATGAGCTGCAATTTTAGTGGACAGAACTGCTCAGCCGAGGACTTCTCTGTGGTGAGTGAAAAAGTTTCTCAAAGTTCTGTCATCACCCAACTGCGTGGCAGTCATATTACATTACGTCATTATGATTTATTGGCTTTATGAAAACTTTTGAGTTAAAGTAAAACTTCACCATTTTAAACACTCTTAAGAATCATACAGACTTACCTTTTTTTACGAGACTTGTCTTGTTCATACAAAACTACCAATAAGCATGAAAAAAAAAACTAACCCTTTAAGGCAACAGAAATTTAAATTCTCTTTGTGCTTGTACTCATCTCCAGGGGCCATGTGGTTCCCACGTTACATTTCTGCCTGCAAGATTCATGGCTTTAGCTGAGCCATTGAGCTGTATCTCTTCTCACTAAGTTCCAAGCAGCAACAGTGTTTCTCTCCAGCCGTGTGTCTCAGCCTGTACCAGAATCTATTATGTCAAAGAACAAAGGCTGCTCCTGAAGAAGAAAAACAGAGAGCTGTCGTATGTGGTTTTATACTTTTTCGAAGGCAAACTGTGCTTTAATGCTGCCTCCAACTCCAGTAGCTGAGAGTGCATGGCGACAAAATTGTCATCGAAAATAGCAGTCTCCTCTTCGTCTCTTTTCCATCTCTCCCTGTTGCTCCTCCTCTCTCTTACTGACATTGCAGAGCAGCTGCCTCTCTCTCTCTCTCTCTGAGCTCTTGTACCTTTCAGGAGGAAAGGAGTAATGCTTCTTCAACGTTGTATTTCAATCTTGCTGCTGTTAAGATTAAATATTTAAAGACAGACATACATGATTTTTGCATTAGCCAGATTGACTAAAAGGAATGAAACAATTTCCATGAGAGAAGGCAAGTGTGTGCGTGTGAGAGAGAGAG